GTCCTGCGCGAAGCTAGTATTTACATTAGCGGGGCGGCGAGTCCTCCACCTCGGCCCGGGCCAGGCACTTCGGCCGAGCGAATTACAGACTGGGGAGACCTCTAGCGTAGACGGCGGGAGGTAGAGAGTTGTAACTTTTCATCCATGACACTTGCTCCATATGTGTGTGTGCGGACAAACTTTTTTTTGACTAGTGGGAAGAGAAAGGGTTGTTGGAGTGCGTGCGGGCGTGCGGAGAGACAGTTATTCGCTGCCCATTTGCAGCCAATTCCCGCGCGGTTTCTTGCACCCTGAAGTGTTATAAGTCGCAGGTATAATTTGTGGAAAGCATTAATGAAATCCAATTACCTCATTTACTATTCATCTTGCCGGAAATGAACCATAGGAAGTCTGTGAGCAAATCCACATGTCCGACGCTGTCCTGGCGGGCAAGATAACGTGTCCACACTATGGCACAGCTGATAGACCGGAAAGATAACAACAGGAGGTTATATGTCGGGCGATAAGCGTCCAGGTGAAAGATCGGCCTCGGAATATATTTTCAAGTGGATGAAGCTGTGTTTGTAAACACACGCAAACACGATTTCGGCTGATATTGAGAGTGGTGGAGGAGGGGGAAGAGAGAGGGAGAGAGGGAGAGGGAGGGAGGGAGGGAGAGGGAGAGGGAGAGGGAAAGAGGGAGAGGGAGAGGGAGAGGAGAGGAGAGAGGAGAGAGAGAGAGAGAGAGAGAGAGAGAGAGAGAGAGAGAGAGAGAGAGAGAGAGAGAGAGAGAGAGAGAGAGAGAAGAGAGAGAGAGAGAGAGAGAGAGAGAAGAGAGAGTGAGAGTGAGAGAGAAAGAAAGAAAGAGACAGACAGACAGAGAAAGAAAGAGACAGACAGACAGAGACAGACAGACAAAGACAAAGAGAGAAGGATAGGAAAGAACCAAACAATACAGAAATACAGACATTGCAAATAACAAAAATGAATCTAAAAGTCGCTAAGTACTGAGTTAGGCCTATGGAGTAGGAGAAGGTCATTGACAAGGGACCAGTTTCTATTTGGGATTTCAATTATTTTCCTTTTTTCTGTCTCTCTATTATCCTTTCTTCCTATTCTCTCCCTTTGTATACATCTTTTAACGACTGACCCAGCTAACTGTCTACGTATTTACATGTGCAAGGTATGTAAATATGTATGAATGTCTGTGTGTGCACATGTCCATGCGTAAGTATGTATGTATGTATATGTACGTATGTATTTATGTATGTATTATGTATCTGTGCATGCATGCATGCATGTATGTATGTATGTATGTATGTATGTATGTATGTATGTATGTATGTATGTATGTATGTGTATGTGTATGTGTATGTGTATGTGTATGAGTATGTGTGTGTGTGTGTATGTATGTATGTATGTATGTATGTATGTATGTATGTATGTATGTATGTATGTATGTATGTATGTAGGTAGGTAGGTATGGTTACATGGATGTACGTATATATGCACTTATGTATGTGTATGTAATATGGATGTGTTATGTATGTATGCATGTATATATGTATATGTGAATGTATGTATATACTGTATGTATTCATTTATGCTTGCATGTGCGTATGTTTGTATGTATGTATGTATGCACACACACGCCAACACTTATCTATCTATCTTTCTGTCTATTCATCCATTGATCTATCTATGTATCTTTCTATCTATACATAGATAGATAGTACGATTATTCTCTCCTATTTCTCTCTTTTTTTCCCTTTTATACATACCCAGCGTGGCGTATGCATATGCCGTGCCCTCGAGGTCCCTCCTCCAAGTCGCCGTCGATTCGGGATCCGGTTTCTCCAAGCCGGGCGCCGCCATCCATTCTTTATTGAGCGGCCATCTTCCTCCTTCGCCCTGTGATGTGGGGCATCGGGGCCACCGCCTGCCCCGTCTCAGGCACTTCCAGCCTTGCTACAGACAAAGGCACGTCGCTCTTCTCCTCTCCAATGTAGGGCAGCCCTTCCCCTCTCCCCTGCCGGAGTGCGGGCTCCCTGCACGGCGCTCTCGTGGTCGGGACACTCTCCTTCTGGGAGCAGTGGCGGCGACGCGGATTAGCAGGGCTGTGCCTTTGGCACGCACACGCACACGCACACGTATACACGCAAGCACGAACGCACGCACACACATACATGCAAGCACACACAGACGCGCATGCACACGCACACAGACACACACACACAAGCGCGCGCGCGCGCACACGCACACGCACACACGCAACACGCACACACACGCAAACACACACACACAAACACATGCCCACTCACACGCACACAAACACACGTTAAGGCAAAAAATGAGACGAGACATTCAAAGATATATATCAGATTTATTTATTTGTTTATTTGCTTACCTAATAAATTACCACTACATATATCTTTACTAGATCATATATCTATTCACAAAATCTTTATAGTACTTTATACAGAAAACATGACAAACCTTATTGCAAACCTCAAACGCACAAACCACACAAAATGTATTGTGACACCCCCTTCACTCCTCCCTAAACCGCACTGCCTTTGCCCCTTTAAAGAAACTCTCCCCTTCTTCTTCCTCTCCTCTGCCCGGGTATTTGTACCCAAATAGGACTGCTGTTGGGGCCAAACTTATGGGTATGGGCAGGGGATACCCCTTTGTACCGCCTTCCCGCCCGACATGGCCTAAACCGAGATACACCTGTACCCTCCCTCCTCCCCCTTCCTTCCCCCCCCACCCCCCCCCGACTCGCCTCGTGGAGCTAATCTTGTCCTCCTCGCCCTCTTTTTTTTTTTTTTTTTTTTTTTTTGTTTTCCCTCATTCCGTCCCTCTTTCGCTTTCCCCTCTCATAGCCTCTTTTTCCAACCCTCTTTGTCTTCATATATTTTTTCTTCTTGACTTGTTCCTTCCCTTCTCACCCCCTCTTCTTTCTCCTCTCCCATTTATTCCCTCTCTTCCTTTCATTCATATTCTCTTCTTTATCTCTCCTTTCTCCTCTTTTTTACCCCCACCAAGTCCTCCCCCCTTTTTTCTCTCTTTCTCTTAAACCGTTTTTTTTTTTTTTTTTTCCTCTCTCCGTTTTTTTTCAGATGTGTTCATCTTTATGCTGTTATTCTTCTCTTCCTTTTACATCCAATTCCCTTTTCTTATCCTTTCCTTCTATACCCCTCTTCTTCTTCATATCCCTTCCCTTCTTCTCTTCCCCTCCTCCATCTCCTCTCCACCTATTTCACCTATTTCTCCCGTCTTCCGTTCACCCTCCCCTCTCCCCCACATCACACCCGCCCTTTTCCTCTCTCTTCCCTGCCTGCTCTCTGCGCAACCTCCCTTTTCTCCCCATCATCTTGAACCCCTTCTCTTTCCTACTTCTTCTCTCACTCATCTCCCTTGTCCTCTTCACCTCCCTCCCCCATCATCCCCCTCGTCCCCTTCTCTCTACTCCTCCCCTCTCCCCAACCCTTCCCTCTCTCCCTCCCCTCCTCCCCTCCATCACCGCCCCCGTCCCTTCGACTTCTTCACCCCCTCCCCAACCCTTCCGTCTCCCTTCCCCCTCCCCTCCTTCATCCCCTTCGACTCCCCCCTCCCCCTCCCCTCCTCCCCCTATCACCGCCCCAGTCCCTTCGACTCCCCCCCCCTCCCCCTCCCCTCCTCCCCCATCACCGCCCCCTCCCCAACCCTTCCGTCTCTCCCTCCCCCCTCCCCTCCTCCCCCATCACCGCCCCCGCACGCCGTGGAAAGTCAGGACCATCGACGAGGCGAGAGGCGAGCCCCGGCCGCCGCGGCGAGCAAACCTGTTCCAGGATAGATAGCGTTTTTCACTCCACATCTCTTCTATTTGGTCCTCGCTCGCGCTGAATTATTATGGCCGCGATCCCCCCCCTCCCCCCCTCCGTCCGCTTGATTTATTGTGCTCGTCCGACGCTTGCTTGGCCGCGGCGTTTTCTGTGGGGGGGTCGGGGTGGGGTGGGGTGGTGTGGGGGCGGTTGGCGGGAGGTTTTCGTTTTCTCTTTCTGGGAAATTCTCTGGAACCGTTGCATTGATATTACTATGTCCATGTATATATAAATATCTGTGTGAGTGTGTGTACGTGTGTGTGTGTGTGTGTGTGTATTTATGTTTACTATGGCCATATATATATATATATATATATATATATATATATATATATAATATATATATATATATATATATATATATATATATATAATATATATATATATATATATATATATATATATATATATATATATATATATATATATATATATATATATATATATATATCATATATTTTTGTGTGTGCACCTAAATGTACATCTATCTCTCTCTCTTACTAACGTATCACACATACATTCACAAATTCACACACATACACACACATTTATATATATGTACGCATGTATATATATCTATGAAACTGTGTATGTGTGCGTTTGTTTGATACATCCAAAATAATAAGGGAGACAGAAAATAAAAATAAGCAAGAGCAGTCGCGATTTGACTACCAAATTAATTATTTGTAAAATCGCTCTGCTTCACAATATCTCAAACAAAAGACAAATAAATAAGGCGAAATATTGATGTACTGGCGCGGCGTCGCGAACCCACGCGAAGCCTTGCAAGGAGAACCGAGTGTTGACTCTGCGAACCCTGTGTTTTGGTCAAGCAACCGATAATTTCGTCCGATACATCTTGCGATTGAGCACGATAAACACAGCTGAGCGCCCCTTTCCCCTGGTAGCGCCGTGCACCTCGGACGCCTCGCATAAGCCCCATCACAAGCAGATTAAATCCCATCAGGAGCAATTAATTGATTTCTAAAGTAAGGGCGCTGGTCCGGGACAAGGCGCGGCGGGTGGCGGTGTACGATAACTACCAAGCACAGCCCCGCTGCCTTCCTCCCGACCGTTATTATAACAGTGGTGGCGCTACGGGGGTCAACAGCCCCTGCCTACCTCCTTCCCTGGCGCTGTCCTTCGCCGCCTTCA